TGATGAAGTCATAACTCACTTGGTTTGTCTCTTGAATTAGACTGCACTTCCTCAAGGGCAGACAGAGTGCTTATTACTTTCAGTTCTTCTCCTTCTTTCACTCCAGACTTAGCATAGCACAATGCACGCAGTGACTTTTTATGAAGTTCTTGCTGGTCCAATGGTCTGCCCAGCTTCAATTTAGTCATAGGCTCAAGCCTAATTGTATCAGCTTGCAAGAGAAAGTAAATATTTGGGAATTTTGTGAAGTGTTTTTTAAATCATTGGTAACCTGAATTTCCACCTGTCAGTTTGTTGTACTGCGGTCATTTGTGTGTTGCTGTGATTCTGGAAACTATGGCAATGATATTTCAGACACCAGCAGGGTCACTAATGGTGGGCAGTTTTTAGTGGACCTTTCAGACTAAGACAGACAAGGGAGAAACATGGTGATCTATTTCCAAACCCTAGTCAATAAAAACCTTATGGATCACAACAGAACACTGGTTCAGGTGCTAGAGGAGGACATCATGTTTGGAAAGCAGAAGGTAGTCAAGGGTGAGGGAGAGTGTATGTGAAATGAATTGGTATAGTCATTACAAGTTAAGACTTGAACCTGCTGGTGATCATGAGGATGATGAAGGACCACACAACATTTCATTCTGTTGTATACAAGGTCACCAGCAATCAGAGTCAACTAGCCAGCAGCTATCTCTCTAGCCTGAAATTGTCCAGGAGCGGATGTTTACCTGTGTTTTATTGACTATGCAAAGGCAACTGACTGTGTAGATCATAACAAACTGTGGACAACATTTCAAAGAATGGGAATTATAAAACGCTTTATTGAGCTCATACAGAAATTGTACATAAAACAAGAGGCAGTCATTTAAACAGAACAAGAGGACACTGCTTGATTTTAAATCAGGAAAGGTGTGCATCAGTGAAAAAGAGGAAAACTCTCAACGAGATGGACTGATACAGTGGCTGGCTGCCACAATGGGCTCAAACACACCAACAACTGGCGGGATGGCACAAGACTGGGCAGGGTTTTTGTTCTGTTGTACATAGGGTTGCTATGAATTGGAATCAACTTACAAGGAGTGTTTAGACCACTAAATTGACAAATACTGCCAGAGGACCCTACTCCCCCAAATCATTTTGCTAGTACTACTGGCAACAGTCCAGGGTTGATGTAGTTAGAAGAGCTTTATCAGGTCATAGTCCAGAGATCCAACATACCAACAAAACACTGTGGCTTCCATTTTCTAATGAAGCTAATTCTGGGAAATGTCAAGAACCAAAGAGAACTCTGTCTCAGTACTTAGAGATTTGTAGACTTGTTTGTTGCTGTTTTTTAAATAAAAAATTGCATAGTGCTTATTAGGAGCCCCGGTGGCACAGTGGTTAAGTACTGAGTTACTAACTGAAGGTTGGAAGTTCAAACCTATCAACCATTCTAAGGAAGAATGTTGTGGCTATGCTTTCATAAGACCACAGATTACAGCCTTAGAAACCCTAAGGAAACCCTAAGGTTCTAGACCTATAGCGACCCTGTATAGGGTTTCCAAGGAGCAGCTAGTGAACTTGAACTGCAAGCCTCCCGGTTGAAGCAGACTTTGCAGTTGAGCGCATTAACCAACAGCACCACACCAGGACTCCTTCTATAGGGTCACTATGTGTTAAGATTGAGTCAAAGGCAGTGAGTTTTGGTTTACAGTGTTTACTATGTTCCAAGTGCGTAAATATAACACATTCAATCCACACAACAGCCTTATGAATGTTTTACAGATGGGAATAAGGAGGTATGAGTTTAAGTAACAGCTAGAAAATAGAAGAGCTGGGATTGAACCCAGATAGTCTGCCTGAGAGGTCATCAGTTGCCATCAAGTTGATTCTGACTCATAAGGACCCCATGTGTGCAGAATAGGGCTGTGAGCTTTAAGGAGCAGATCACCAGTGTGTCTCCTTAGGAACCTTGGAGAGTATTTGAACAACCAACCTTTTGAATAGTAGTTGAATGTTTATCCTTTTGTACTACCGGGGCTTCTGTAGAGTACATGTTGCCAATCACTACACATTACACAGCTTCTCACTCCTCAAAGAAACATTGACTTAATCATGTGCCTTATTTCTCTTTTTATCTGCAATGCCTAGCACACTGCCTTCCTCTTGAATGGTTGCCAGATACCTCAAGCTATTGTATGTCACTGAACTTGCAGCTAAAGATGTCTTCAGACAGGGTTTCTTAAATGGTGCTCTAGTAAATTCTGAATTTTATAGATCGGGTAGAATGCAAAAATGCAAATATGCTCTTTATGGTAAAATAGAAAAGATTACTGAGGGAAATATATCTCATATTAAGCACTTGAAATAATGAACACGTTTCTCTGGTGTCTTAGTCAACCAGGGGAAGAAATTCGCATGCTTTGGGATCTTATATTGAGTAAAGAGCTTCAATAAATCTTAAACCTCAACCTTCCTTAAATAAACCTTTAAGAAAATGCAAATTTATACAGTTCACCTGCCTGCTCATTCTCACTGGTTGGAAACCAACTGTTTTCCTTTTCAAGTAACTTGGCAACATTTCTGGAGAAAGTTTCTTCATACCAGCTCATCAAAACTATTCTTTGTGAGCTGGTTGGGGATATTTTTCCATGTGTCTTTCAAGTTTCTTTTAAGCTAATTATATAGAGTTTTCATTTATGTGCATTTTCAGTTTTTTCAAAAAATGGAATTAAATATTAATTTTCATTGCTACAGTTAATCCCCAAGTAATGAATATTTAAGGTCCAAACCTTTTGATATTACTAGTAAGGTAGGGAAGAATCCAAGGGTAAAACTATATGAAAGGAAAGGGAAAAACATTAAGATGACCTAAAAATTCTGAAATTTAGACCTAAGCCTCTACAAAACAAACCTTTCATGCTCTTTTATTACTGTTGTTGTTAAGTGCCGTTGAGTCTGTTCCAACTCATTGTAACCTTGTATGGGATTCCTGAGAAGTTGCTGGTGTATTTTAACAGCTGATCTTGTGTTGTCAATCCAGTGCTTACTCTAAATTGCCACACCAGGACCCCCACAAAGTATTTGGACTAAGATAAACTGAGGACTGGCAGTAAATTACTCATTTGCAAACAATGCGTCTTTTATCTGGTTCCTTGTTGACCAATTTGTTATGACCACATTGACTTGGTCACATTGTTTTTAATCAAGTCATGAAAAGATGCCTGACAGAATATGTTAAGCAATGGGATGGTCTTCATGAAAATAATTTTTCCCCAAACTTGGAATTTATATCATACAGTACACAATACCCATTTTATAGAATACAGCAGAGTGTGGCACTTTAATTAGTCAATTACTCTAGTGTAAGTTAGAACTGGAGTCTTGGTACACCAGAATACAAGGTCCATTTGAACTGCAAGATCAGTAGTTCAAACCTACCAGTCACTCCTCAGAAACCCTATAGAGGGTTTCTATGAGGCAGAATGAACTCGATGACACTTGACAACAGCAATCAAGTTATAACCAATAGTAAAAGAAAATTTACCAGAAGTGATACAAACCACATCTGTACTCACCACTGGAAACATATTAAAGATGCTCTCTCCAATATGGATTTTTTTTCTACTTTCCACCTCATAACTCAAGTTAGTCCCAACTGGGGTGTTATTTTTAGAAACAATGAAGTTTTCAACAGCATCACAGCAAGAAGCAAGCTGTGCCCTGAAAAAAAGGATAAAAACAAACATGAGCCAAGCAATTCAAGTGTTGTTTAAGTGCTGTCAAGTCCGTTCCGACTCACAGTGACCCAGTCTAGGATTTTTGAGGAACATTGGGTGGGTTTGAACTGTAAGGTTAAGAAAACTAAACATAGAAAAAATGGTGTGTCATTTACATGGATTTTGCCCATTGACTTTCAGAAGGAAGATAAATCATTCACAAAAAATGACATTTTTATTTCCTTTAAAATTCTAACTAGCCCTTCATGGTAGAATGTTGACTTGGAAGAATAAAATGACAGAGAATGTTAAATATACTCAGGTTGGGGCTCTCTCATTTGTATAAAAGTCCTCATTAAGTTTTCAATAGAAAATTTTAATTTCTAATGATACAGTTTTAACATTAAGAAAAAAAATGACAGAATGTATTACAATTATATTAATTACTATATACAGCAAGTAAATTAAGAATAGTATTACAAATAGGCTCCAACACAATATGTAAACATTTATGATGGAAAAAGTCCAATAGAAAGGACAATTACTTAGTACACTTTTTAAATGAAACAAATTTAAAGTGCTAAGCTATATTTCAAAACTATTTCTGTGGAATGAAACATTATTATTATAATTTAGACCCAGGTAGCTTCTTCCAGAGATCATCAAGTTAGCCTTTACCCTCCATCAAGTGAATGCAGAATTGCTTAAGAATGATGTTGTTTATGTAAATCTCTAGGTCATAGATTCCAGAGTCTCTCTTGACATTTATTCCAAAGAATAATCAACCTTGAAGTCAAGAGATACTTCCATTTGCATAACTGAAATATTTCTTAATTTAAATCCATTTCCCTGTTAGATTTTCATAGAATCTCCTCATAAACATACTTCATGTTGAGGAACAGAACACAAAATCATATATAAAAAAGTCTAGGCTTACTGGTCAGAAGGAGCTGGAGGAATCTGAGCCTTGGCCCTCAGCCACCCTTCAGGTTTGGAACAGAACTCACCCTCGTGGCCCAATTTTCAGCCAAGCAGTAGGTAGGTATATAGGAGGACAACAACACTAGTAAGGCATGTTGTTGTTATTGTTACGTGCCATCAAGTCAATTCTGACTCACAGCTATCCTGTATAAGGGTTTCCAAGGAACAGCTGGTAGGTATGAACTGCCTTATCTTGTGGCTCGCAGTCCTGTGCTGATCCTATAGCACCACACCAGAAGTCCTTACCATGAAATAGTCAACCATTCAAGATCAAAAGGGTAATATAGATATATATATATGTGTAAAGTCAAAGTTGAGAAGGGATGGGAAGGAGGGAGGCAAAGAAATGAGAACTACAGGGAGGGAGTAGGATAAGTGTTGTTACATGTTGTTTTTGTTGTTATGTGCCGTGGAGTCGGTTCTGACTCATAGCGACCCTGCACAGGGTTTCCAAGGCTGTTAATCTTTATGGGAGTAGAACTCCTCATCTTTCTCCCACAGAGCAGCTGGTAGTTTCGAACTGCTGACCTTGCAGTTCACAGCCCGATTTGTAACCACTACGCTACCAGAGCTCCTTTGTTGTTACATGAAGGGGATTGAAATCCTTGAGAAGAAAGAAAGTATATGACCTGTTGAATGAAAAACTGATGATTTTGTTGTAACTCTGAACTCAATTCACAATTAAATATTTCAAAAGCAAAAATACTTTATGTAACTGAGAATAATAATCAAGCAATACTTTAACCTTCATCTTGAAGTGTTTAGAGAATTTCCACTTTTCTCTCAGATTTTCCTCCTAGTACCAGTTTTCCATTATTTTAGTCATTTTTGGTCCTCTTTAAGTTTTTACTTATTGATCCAGTTTACTTAAAAAGATGTATTAAACCTAGATCAAATCTTAGTGCACGGAGGAGTATACATTCAGCAAACAGCAAGTTATCGCAGACTATGTATGGTCAGTGCTAACATCCCAGATTCATAGCGGGATCTTCTTCATTCCATACATTTATTCATTTTGGGTCCTGAAGGGTATACTTTTTTACATGAGTCCTAGTGTTTTTCTGTGGGTTAATGCACTGGACTTCAAGGTTGGTTTGAACCACAAGGTCAGCAGTTCAAGTTCATCAGCCACTCCTTGGAAACCCAATACAGGGTCGCTATCAGTCGGAACTGATTCAACAGCACTTAACAACAAGAATTCTCTCTTTGGGAGTCCTGGTGTGGCACTGTGTGTTAATGCACCAGACTGCAAAGCCATTTGCACTGCAAGGTCAGCAGTTTAAGCTCATCAGCTGCTCCTCGGAAACCCTATATAAGGGCACTATGGGTCCGAACAGCACTTAACAACAACAACAACTCAATATTATCCTTTTGAAAATTATAACACTCCAATTTCCTATTCTACTCTAATTGAATTTCAAGAATTCTCAGGGTATGCAAACTCAGTATTGTGATACTATTTGCACCCCTAAGTCAGGGTTTCTAGCAATCTTCTCTATCCATAAATTTATTTCATTAAGATAGTACATTCTTCTGAATTGAGTTTCATTACCTGCTTATAACTTCTTTTGGTATTTCAGAACCTGAAATTTCAAAAGAACAGTTCATGGAAATGAACTAAAGCAAATACAAAAATAAAATGATGTGTAGTCAAAAATATTAATACTGAGTGGATTTTTATTATAAATTTAATTTGAAGACAATAATGCAACATTATTATAAATTCAGGAATCTTTATGAGTTCATCATTTTAAATGTCTCCTTTATTCAGCATTTTGAGAAGGGGCAATATAATAAATACTCATTTATCTTAGACAAGCAACTTGATTTAAGAATATTCAATACTTAAAAGAATATTGCATCGGCAAAAACACATCAGAGTACTCTTTGTTTTTTTTTTTTTTATATTAATAGACTTTTCTGAAATTATATTTTTATTATCTTATTTAAAACATTTTCAAACAAACAGAAACACTGAAAGAATTTTACAATGAGACCATAACTCAAATGCAACAACTCTTCTACAGTTTTTGTTATTCATTGTATAATTTTCATATGTATATGAAGCTGTTGAAAATACCATAGCTTTGGTCAGGCCCACTTTAGACCTCAAACTAACCTCTTTGCTCTTAAACACTTTAAAGATGTCTTATGCAGCAGATTTGCCTAATGCACTATGTTGTTTAATTTCTTAACTGTTGTTTCCATGAGTGTTGATAGTTGATCCAAGCAAGATGAAGTCTGACAATTTCAATTATTTCTCTATTTATCAGGATGTTATTTATTGGCTCATTGGTGAAGATTCTTATTTTCTTTACATTGAGGTGCAACCCATACTGAAGGCTGTGGTCTTTGATCTTCATCA